TGTGGTTGAAGCTGAAATATTCATTGATAGGTAGGACATTGTAGCAGATAATTTTATGTACTACGCTTAGGTCAGATCGAAAATGGTGAAGTTCTAAATTGTCTAATCCCCAAATTTCAAGTCTGGTGGCATAAGGTATTCTGTTGTGAGCAGAGGAGTAGATGACTCTTCTCGTGAAATATCTCTGGGCTCGCTCAATTGTATCAATGTCCAATATGCAGTGTGGGTTCCAGACAGATCAGTGATATTTGAGAATTGGTCTAGCAAATGTTTTGTATGCTCTGGTTAGCAGTACAATATTACCAATGAAGAAGCCATGCAAGACTAGGTTAACAACTCTTAATGCCTTTTTGGCAATGTTATTACAGTGGGCTCTGGCACTTAGATAATTAGATATGAGTACTCGAAGGTCCTTGACAGAGTAAGGGTCATCTACAAGGTCGTGTCCACCTTGCAGGCTCTGGAGTTGCAGGCCACCAGGAGTACGTCCCGCCCGCAGCAGAAAAGCGCCGGTTCCTGCCCAGGTTGAAGCAAGAGCTGCTGAGGTGAAAGGCAAAGAGGGGTGGGGGTGGGTGTTCCAAGAGGGCCTCTCCCCTTTTGGCACTCCGCAAGCCAGGCCCGCAGCGGCAAGAGGCTCCGCTCCCCCCCCTCCGGTCCAGAGAAGCCGACTGTGGGCGAGTCTCCGCAGCCCCGGTTCCGTCTCCAAGCAGAGTGCCAAAAGGGGAGAGGCCCTCTTGGAACACCCCCCCACCCCTCTTCGCCTTTCACCTCCGCAGCTCTTGCTCCAGCCTGGGCAGGAACCGCGCTCTTCTGCTGCGGGCGGGACGTACTTCTGGTGGCCTGCGACTCTGGAGCCTGCAAGGTGGAAGTGTTTGCCCTGCGGGGCAGGCAAAAGCCGAAAGAAAGCACCCCACCACTTCTGTCTGACATAGAGGCGCCCCGCAGCTGGGTCGGACATAGCTGCGGGGCATGGGATGCCTCTATTTCGGACATAGCTGCTGAGGGGGGGGGGAGCCGCTTTCTTTCTTTTTGCCTCACCAGCCATAAGCTTCACAGCACATCACTGCTGACACATAGTCAAGGTCTTTTTGAAGGGTTGCAGCATTGTTAGTGGTGTTAGATAGTTTTACATCATCAGTGAAGAGAATGCAGCTGCTTATAATATGATTGCAGAGGCCATTTATATAAAGTATAAAGAGTGTGGATCCTAAAACGCTACCTTGGGGGACACCGCTATTAACAGCTACAAGGTTTGATAGGGCATTTCCTATTTTGACTACTTTTTGCCTGTTTGATAGTAATGCAGGTTACCTTATGCAGGGAACCAGAGATGCCATCAGATTTTAGTTTTAAAAGTAGTTTGTCGTGTACTATTGAATCAAAGACTTTACAAAAATCTATATTAATTTGCTTTACCTTGGTCAAGTTGTGAAGTCCATATGTTTTCACAGTGTAAGAATTGCAGATTGCAGGACACATTTTTCCTGAAAATAAATTGTTTATTAGAGAGCAGGTTGTTTATTTCTAAGTAGAGGGTAATGGTTTGGTTTATGATTGATTCCATGACTTTGGAGGTGACACAACATAATGAGTTTGTAATTTTCAACTAGGATGGGATCACCCTTTTTGAAGATAGGGATGATTGTGGCTAGTGACCATGTTAGGAAGGAGCTGGTTCTGAAAGATATTTCATAGATTATGCCAGGAGGTTTTGCTAAGGTGGTTGTGGTTTTTTTTTAAGAAGTATGCATATCAGGGCCAATAAATAGAGATGGTTTTAGGGTGCATAGTGCCTTTTCAACAGCATCTTTTGTAAAATCTAAATGTAGTAGATCATTGTAATTGGTTGTGGTACGATTGAGAAATGTGGGACATGAGCTATGCTGTTTACAAAGACTGAACTGAAGAATGAATTGAAGAGGTTGGCCTTAGTGGTTTCATCTTTACAGTCTTTCCTGTTTGGCTCTTTTAGTGGTGGGATGGATCTTGAGTCTTTACGTTTGTTGTTTACAAAATTATAGAAGGACTGGGTGGATTTCATGTGTAATAGGTTTTCCTCTTGTTTTCTGTGATAACTGATGCATTCTGCCTTTATCTGTCGGCATAAAGTTTTGTAGCGATTTTTGAAATTAGCTATGTAGACAGTTTTGTTTTTGTGCCAAAGGGGGTGGGGGGTTGACCAAAGCTTCCTTATTGTTATTGGTAATTTGTTTTTCCTAGTTTTGGTGATTATTAGAGGTACATATAGTTTGATTATTCTTTTGATTTTGTGCAAAAAAAAATGTTATAATGGTCTTTGGCCATGTTGCAGCCAGTGAACAGAGTTTGCCAATCAAGGGATGAGAGGTCATCAGTTATGAGATCATAGTTGACTTTTCTAAAGTTATACTTTGGGATTCTGTCATATTATCATCTTTGTAAGGACATAAATTGAGACAAAAGTCAATCATGCTATGATCACTGTTGGAAAAAAGTTCATTTATTTGTAGACCATTTATTTGCAGAAGATGAAATCTAGGCAGCTGTTGAGTCTAGTGTTGTTTGTAACTAGTTGATCAAATCCCAGATTAGTAACGGCATTGTACATGATTGTATGTACTGGTTCTGTTGTATATTTGTTTAGCGTCCAATTAATAAGAAGTAGATTGAGGTTGCCAATAAAGATAAGAAGGTGTGGGCAAGAGGTTGCCCATGTTAGTAGTGAAGTTAGTTTGTTCACATGTACAAGATCGTAATCAGGGGGTCTGTAACAAAGTAAGAAGCAAAATGTGGTGTTTAGGGACGACTCACAGACTCAGGAGGAGCAAGTTCCTGTGTAATTGAATGTTTTTTAGATTAAGGGATTTTTTATAGAAGATAGCAACTCCACCCCCTCTATGGATTTCATGGTCATACCGGTAAACATGATAGTCTCTTATTGTGATAGTGGAGTCTGGGAGGGCTGAATTCAACCACGTTTCACAGACAATGTCAAATATACCTGAATTTAGTAAGAGGAGGAATTCTGGTATTTTGTTTACAAGACTTATTGCGTTAAGTAGCTTGCATTTAAGGTCTGGTGGATTTTGAGGAAGTTAGGGGCATGCATGCCTAGTATTGGTTGTTGGGTGGTGGTTGTTGAGATGTGGAACATTGTTCTTACTTTTAATGCAGTCAGCGCAGTAGTCACTGTATAAGTCAGTTTCTCCCTTTTCTTGGCATGTTTTGAGTTCAACGTATACTTCACAAGAGTGAACTTGTTGTAGTGTGGATAGGCCAGACCTTGAGTGGAGTTTGTTATAGTTGGAGTTTCTTCTGGCAATTGAGTCGATAGTATGTATGAATTTGCATTTGCTGGTCTCATCTTTGCAGATGTCTCTGCAGAAGCATAGAGCCACTGAGCCATCACCATAGTTGAACCATTGCAGGAAACGTTGATGATTTCCTCAGGGGAGATGGTTGGTGTCTGACATTTGCTGAAGATGTGGCGTACCTTTGTAATATCATCAGTTTCATTGATGTCCTCAAGACCAAATAAAATAGCATTGGGACATTTTTGTTCTCAATCAACGGCATCTTTGTTTAATAAGGAAATGTTATTTGCTTGGGAGGTGGCTGGTTGTGTTTGTGGTTGAGGTTGTTGAATTGGGATAAGATTTTGATTTGGTTGAGGTTATTGAATTGGAATAAAATTTTGAGTTGCTGGATGTTCACTTGTTTGAGTTGAATTCTTGCTTTCAAGAGATGCTAAACATGTTTCTATGTTGTTAAGGGATGATAGTAAACATGTTTCTGTGTTGTAAAGAGTGATAGTCTTGGTGTCTATCCTATCAAACAATTTGTCTAAATTGGGTTTTCATGATGGGCAGAGATGAATAAGTGGATTTGGGGATGTTTGTAGGAATTGGACTAATTTATTGGTAAATCCCAGGCATATGTGGTGGGCATACTAGTTACATAGGCAGCATTTAATAGTATTCGCATTCTCCTTGAAGAAATCTGTACATAGAAAGCATTTGAAGGTATCATTTGTGTCATTAATAGAGATGTCTATCTTTTTGATTGGTTGTTTGCTTGGAGTTTTTTCTTGGCATGGTAGATTTGTGTTATAGGTACGTAGTTGAGTACCTAATATTTGCTGGTATTCAATGTTGAGTTAATTAATCTCTTTTTTGTGTTGGTATCCAATGTTGAATTGATTGATCTCTTATTTGCTTGATGATTAATCATGCAATCAATCAGTTAAACATTAAATATGCTAATAAGTTAAACATTAAACCAGTAATTATGGTAATCAGTGCTATGCTGATCAATAACACTAACTAATCAATGTAATGGATGCTCAATTAATTAATATATGCTCAATAAATTAGCCAATGCTGTAATATTCATAGTAATTAATCAATCAATCAGCAATAGGTCTGTTGCTCTAATAAATTACACTAATCTATTAAGTAACTGGACAATTAATTAATCAGCTAGAAAATCAATTAAATAAACAGTACAATATTACAAATTCTGTCTTTTAAACAATGGGTAATGATGAAAGGGTTTTGTAGCATAAAAGGGTTTTGGAGTAATTGGCTTTTACTTCCTCGTGTAACTTCTGCTGTCCATTATGTTTTGTTGGAGTATCTTTGATGCTGAGAATTCAAATCCAATCTGGTTTAAAATGGTGGAGGATTGAAATTCAATTTGGTAGGAACTAAAAGGAGATTTGATTTAAATGATTTTTTATTTTATTTTATTTATAAATTGGTTTAAAACTGATTTTTTAAACACACCGTCTAATTGATTTTTTTAACACACCAATTCCGGTGGGAGTTTGAAGGATTTATTTCACATGAATTTCAGTGGGAGTTTAAAGATGATCTATCAGAGGGATTTTTTGCCCTATGATTGGAATGATTTTTGCCTCACTTATTTTGGCTCAGGAGCGTTCCAATGCCTTGGCGATCATGGACGATCAGGTGCTTCTCACGGGGCATAACAGGGCATCACAGAGCCTCTCGGAGATTCGGTGCGGTCAGGGATCAATTAGGTTCTGGCGTGTTATGGTGCTTCGGCTTTAGTTTAGGCGCGTTTTGGCGCTTCGGCAATCTCGGGCACTCCTCACGGAGCCAATCTCGAACACTTCTCAGGGAGCCTCACGGAGCGATCACAGCTATCAGGCACTCCTGTACGCCAACATTTTGGCAATCAAGAGTGCTCCAGAGCTTCCCAGTGATTTTCTTACTTACAGAGAAAATTCTTATGCAAGCAGGGATGCGATGAGTGAGTGAGGTAAAGAAATGGTGGGCGCTTCCAAGCAAGAGCCTCACCTTCCTACCTGAACACCACCATCTTGGGAAGTTTACATATACACGCTGCCTTTCAGATCTCTGGAGGGCTGAATGGATAGTGTTTGAGAACCAAATTGTAGATATCTGCAGAGGGGTTGCAAGAGACGGCAAGTTACAACGTGTGTTGTGATTCAAATTCCATCTCTGACAGGTAGTCCTTGAGTTACAACTGTTGGTTTAGTGACCATGTGAAGTTACAATGACACTGAAAAAGGAGATTTATGACCATTTTTCACACTTATGACCATTGCAGCAACTACCTGGTCACATGATTAAAGTATGGCTGCTTGGCAACTGGCATGTATTTATGATGGTTGCAGGGGTCATGTGATCCCCTTTTGTGACCTTCTGAGAAACAAGGCAATGGAGGAACCAGATTTACTTAACAGCCGTGTTACTAACTTAACAACTGCAGCGATGCACTTAACAACTGTGGCAAGGAAGGTCGTAAAATGGCCAAAACTCATTTAACAACTGTTTTGCTTAGCAATGGAACTGTTGGGCTCAATTGTGGTCATAAGTCAAGGACTACCTGTATATACTTGTATGGAACATTGATTCAAACATGAAAGTGTGGACCTTGCATAGTGGTGTGTAGTATTTTTACATGTTAGTGTTATTGTCAACTTGAAACCGAACCTGGCAGAAGGCAAAAGTGGCTGGAATACCTGGCTAGACATAACACAGAACTCTCCCATGGGAACCAAGGTCATCTCCACAAGTGTCAGATGAAGATGGAGAGGAGTGCCTAAATGGTCAATGTGACCTGTGACACTTGGGGAGGGAATCATTTACTCTTTTAATCTTACTGAAGCAGCGGGAAACATTTAGAGTTGGCTTTGCCTTTAATCGTGCCAAAATGATGTACTCAAAAAAGAAGTTCTTTGAGGAAGATTGCAGTCTCAGAGTTCTGATTTGTTTGGGTTTGTTAGTCGGAACCTTGATAGTTATTTTGGCATTATTGTGTGAAGCGAATTGCCTTTTCGCTCCCAAGTTTCCATTTGCCTATCTGTAGTCTATTCTTTGTTAAATACAGGTTCTCATTTAGCAACTGCCACACTTAGCAATGGTTTGTAGTTATGATGATGATGATGATGATGAAAATGTAACTATTTCTCAGCCTTACTTAGAAACACCTCTTGAGGCTCTCTGCACATTGTCTTCAACTACCAGATATCTCAATCACATAACAATCCCCAAATTCAGAAGGGCCTTTTCTTCTGCCCAGAGTTCCCCAACTTTTCTGCTTTTGCGTGTGCATGCACACAGCTCCATTTGCATGAGCGGCATGCACATACACCTGCCGCTTGCACAAATGGAATGGAGCATTGCTGCATGCGCTCACCTGTTGTTCAAGCAAGGGGGAAAGTGCTCATGTCTTCTAGTGCGACCTCCTGATCAATTCCACTGAATTGTTCTGTCAGGAAGTTTCTCCTTAGTTCTAGGTTGGTTCTCTCCCTAATTAGGTTCCATCCATTGTCCTCTATTATCCCAGGAGCACGGCGGGACATATTGTTTCCATTAAATACCCAGGTCATTCAAATTACTTTTATCCTAAAATGCTATTCTTGGATCATTCTGACTCCATCTTTCTGTTTAAGTACTGTTAAGTAATCTGCTATTTAAACTGTAGGGTCTAACCCCTCTTAGATATTTCAGTTATTTTAAAACATTTATATATTATATATACACATTTTTTTAAAATTTTACTTTCATTAATTGCATCCTACATGCTGGTCTATGACCAAATAAAAACTTGATTGATTGATTGGTTGAATACTTTTGCCAAGTCCTGCCCTTTGGGATATCTTCATGGAATGTTATAGATTGTTGCACTTAATCAAACATCTAGACAATGAGACATTTTTTCTGTGTCATTCCTCCATGCGATTATACATATTAACCAGATTTCTGTGCTAAAGGTGTAGAGACAGAAGCTATGAAAGATGAAAAATCCATGGAAGCTGCACAAATGGAAGAAATAGACATGATTGGAGTTGTATTTCAAGATGAAGTCTCATATCGACTCCGATTCCCTTTATATAAACTGGTTTCCCCAAATGAATATTTTGGAAAGACAGGTAATTTATGATGTTTGTGTTCTTATGCTCCAGTTTCCAAATATTTATATGTCTACTGGAAAGTTAGATGCAGATTTGTGCTTTTGCATTTCTTTAGTCTTACATGTCATTAATATAACATATGAAATGGACTTCCTTCTTTATATCAGTTGAACAGATACCTATTTAAATAATATAATTTTTTTTATGAGATTGTAACATGGCCTCCACTGCATATGACAGCATCTAGATGACCTTGGCAGAGATGGGTTCCTACTGGTTCTGTATGGTTTGGCTGAACCAGTAGGGGTTTGCCATCCTGAGTCGCTGGAACTGGCAGTGACTCAGGCCTGCCATGCTTCCGAACCAGTTTCCCAGTGAGTGTGGCATATATTTTTCCTATTTTTTAAATGATCTGTGCATGCGCAGACCTATTTATGGGCAACTGCGCAAGCGCATGTGAGCAAAGTGAGTGCGCCTGTGCAAAATTGAGCGCACACCAAACTGGCAATAATGCCGGTAGCAAATCACCTCTGAACCTTGGTCATCTTGATAAAACTGTTGTAATTTAAAACTTTAATTATATTAATTATAAAATTAATTTAATTTAATTATATTAATTTAATTATAAAAATTATACACATATAAAAAACAAAAAACAATCAGTTTGAGTTAATGTGCCATGCCCATTGTTTCCAGTTTAATATATCATAATGAATGTCTAGCCCTATTAATATAGTATTAAATAAATTTTATGCATAATAAAGTAGCATTCTTTTTTTATTTGTCTTTTGTAGATTACTGTTACAACTTTTCATCATCTGATTGTTCAAATCCAAGCTATTGGTATGGAGGCTTTATAGCTTTGCAATCTAGCATTGATAGTGCACTTATTGAAGTAAGTGGGATCACTTTAATGTATTTATATTGGTAAATTATATACATAGGCTGGTTGTTATTACCTTCTTGAGAGAGATTATTGTACATTGATTGAATTTTTATATCAACTGGTATACTTTTTTTGTTGTTATTGTTGTCCACTAGTTCCCATAACAATTAGTCCATGAAGGTGCAATCTTCATATGTCTGAGTGGCCCATAGCTGTAATACAGATTTTATATTCTTGACAAAGGGCAGAGACCTAACTTTAATAAGGAAGGAAGAGCCAACTGCAGGTACAGATAGTCCTTATTTAGTGACTACAATTGGGATCAGCAACTTGGTTAACAAGTGAAGTGGTCGCTATGTGAAACATCATGGTTTTATCATTTTACTTCAGCTTCCCTTTGTTTTTTAGAGACATGAAGTTCATGAATGTGAGGATTGGCCGCAGAGCTTTTTCATGGTTGTTATTGTGAATGGTTGCTAAGAGGCAATGGCTAAATGAGGACTACCTATACTTTTTTCCAGTCTTTTTAGATAAAAGTCAGAATTAGCCTCTCGGTCTTATTCTTCAACTTTCTTGCTCTTAGCCATTGCTAGGTGCTGTTCTCTGCTCAGTTTTGTTTGCCTGTGTCTATTTGTGAAACAATTCCCCCTCAATCCCATCCTTTGCTTCTTACTGGAATAGGACAGTGGATGTTGCAATCACATAATATTTAGAAATCACCAGAAGAACCCTTCATTAGACAGCAGACTACTCAGTCTCCTACAGGGGCTAGTAATTATATTTTGCTGCGAAAGGTCATACATTATCATTGTTACCATAAACAAGAACATTTTACATAGCTTTATGAAGGTGGTGTTTTGGAAAAAGAAAAAGAAAAGGGAGGCAAGAGAAATAAAGGAAAGCAATGAACCAAAAAGTAATTTTTTGACTGGACAAACTTGGGCTGAATTAAAATTCAGCCTCCTTCAAGCTGAGCTTGAGGCCTAGTCCCTTTAGTCACATACTCATTTATAGCTTTCTTCAAAACAATATCATTGCTACCTTCTGAGACACCTTTTACCATTTCTTTATTTCTTTTTTTCTTTTTATTCATAAACATTTTGAATACAGTGTATTGTCAGGGTATATCATTTATGAAAGAAAAATGAAAAAAAGACAGTAAAATAGTAACACATACACTGGTAAAAATAGTAATAATATAACAAAATGGTTTTGCCTGTTTCTTTTTATATTAGCTTGTTTATAATTCTCTTGAATGTATTAGTGTATTTATAACTATAGACCATCTTTATATTTAGTTCATACATATCAATAATCTTTCTTTGTCTATTTTCTACCTCTTATCTCTAACCACTGATAAAATCTATTCCATATCAAGTAATATTCTATATCATCTTTATCTTTTATTTTTAGTCAGTCTGTCCATCTCCGCGCAATCTATTACATCCTCATCTGGTGGAATATTCTCATTCTTCCCGTATTTTGCATATGTAATCCTTGCTGCTGTCAGTACATGCAAAATTAGATACCATACCCCCCCCCTCCGCAAAAAAGAGCATGGAAATGCATCTTATACACCAAATACAGCCATTTTTGGCCTCCCAAAGCCCCGCCACTGCACCCCATTTTTGCTAAAAGTGGGCCATTTTTTAAACAAAAACGGAGGCTTTTTGCCTTCCCTCAGCCCCCAGCAGCCCTCTGCAGCTTCAGTAGGGCTGGGGCAAGGCAAAAATACTCCCACTTTTGTGAAAAACAGCCGTAAAATGGGACATTTTTTGCAAAAGCAGAGGCTTTTTTGCCTTCCCTCAGCCCCTGGCAGTCTTCAGCTGGCTTCAACAAGGCAAAAACATTTTTCTTACTTACCTCTTTGGACTCTTGGTGTGTCTTATACACCAGTGCGTCTTATAGTCCGAAAAATACAGTATCATAACCTTCCGGCATCATACCAAACAGAAATACTTCTGGTTTCAGGTCCAACCAGTTATGTATTTTCTTTCTTGTTTACATGCAAGTCCACCACATATGATAGTGAGTACCTGGGGTCTGATTGCATTTCCAGCATTTGGCAGACAGATAACTGAATATTTTTGCCAATCTTACCAATGGTAGGTGCCACCCGTAACACATTTTATAAAGATTTTCTTTATAAGCCGTTGCCATTGTCAATTTAAAGTCCCTCTCCCAAAGTTTTTACCATTTCTCTAATTCTATGATAAAGTAGAATAAAATATGAATTAAAATATAAGAATGAAGATGTGGCATAAAAGGGACAGTTAGAACCTTGCTTTAAGGGACAAGAAAATGTCATCAGCCTCTAACCACAAGATGTTCTAGCCAACGTCCCTATGTCAAAAGTCCAAACCACAAGGTTCAAATAAAGTTTGTTAATGACACGTAGTCTGTACCAGAGGAGAAGTAAGACCCCCATCTACTTACAAGGCTTTCCCCCCAAAATAACCAATAAGAAATGAATTAAATGTTTCTGTGTTGCGCTGCTTTTGAGAATATATAAGAATGTGTGCTTCGATAATGAAGGTTGTTCAGAATTTGCAATGTTAGCCATTTTGCTAGCTTTCTGAACCTGGCTACCAAATAAACTTTTCCTGTATCCTGAGAAGTCTAAAGCCTGTCATTTTCTGCAACAATTCTGGCGACCGCAGCAGGACTTAGAGAGATATTTCGCTGAGGACAGAACAGACTGACTGGTGCCCTATCGAGGCCGTCTCACCCATCTTCAGGTGCCGACGGAGACCTTTCTCCGGGAGAGGGCTGACTACCTCTCCTGGGCATCCGGAGGACACCACCGATCCAAGAATCTGACCAGGATCAGGACAAGTTAATAAAAATTACGCCAGCTGAAAGAGAAGATGCCTGCAAGCAAGTATCAAAAGAATTGTAGACCCACTCGGTTAGGAATGGAAGAAGGGGCCCGATCACCCCCCTGAGCCTGGGATAGCATCCCTTCCAAACGGAACCGGCATATCCTAATGAGGCTCTAGGTTTGTGTGGGACGTTAATCTGCTGCAGTTCCTGTTGGTGACCGTGAGCTCCGGGACCACAGGTCAGCAGAAAGTGTGTTAGAAATAGAACATGGGAGGAGGGAGCGTTCCTTGAACACCTATTCAGTGCATGTTGAAAAACTTCAAGAGAGTTTTTAGTGGAGATTATGGAGATCCCAAACCCAACCCTGGGGAGCTAAAAAGATTCTGTGAGAATGAATCGCCCACCTTTAATGTAGGATGGAAACCTGAAGGCACTTTTAATCCAGACATCATTTCAAAAGTACAACAGATTATAACCGATGCTAAAACTGGTCACCCAGATCAATATCAGTATATTGACCAGTGGCAGATAGCAGTGCAACAAAATCCTGACTGGCTGCATAAATGTAAAAAGGAAGCTGTAAAGGTTTGTGTGGCCCAAATAAAAGGAAATGGCAAAAGCAAGGTCACAATGAATCACGCTGAGAAAAAGTCTCTCCTCCAAACTGCGCCTGATGAAGAAGGCCCACTCCATATGCCCCTCTTTATCACCCAAGGCAACCTTCAAATGCCGGCAGTGGAATTAACCAAGGGGCAGTAGGAGAAAGTAACCAGGGAGAAAGACAAAAATTGGGTAGACACCTTACCCTTAGCCCTTTGGTCTGTAAGATGTACTCCGCATAAAGGACTCAAACTGTCCCCTTTTGAAATGATGTTTGGACAGCCACCAGTAATAAGTTGTAATTTGAAAAATCATGGAGGGGACCTGGGACAGCTGGGGGCCTCATGGGTGAATCAAATGGTGGGAGAATTAAATAAGCAAGTACAAGAAATCCAACAATATTGTGTTTCCCTTACCCCACTATTTTTAACAAATTCCAATCATAATATTCAGGTGGGGGACAGAGTGTGGGTAAAACACTGGAAAGGGGAGAACTTGAAACCTAGATGGAAGGGCCTGTATACTGTAGTTATGTGTTCTCCACTTGCAGTAAAAGTTTTAGAATCCAAGACTTGGATTCATTGGACCCGCATTAAACCAGCCACTGAAGAATACTGGGAGGCTGACTTGGACGAATCCAGTCCCTGAGTAGTACGCTTAAAGAAACGCCTCCTATAAGCTTCCCTACTGCAATGGGTAGCTCTTACGGGGTTAGAAGAAGCCCTACTGAAACCACAACCGGAAGCTGGTTTCTTGACGTATGGCTGAAGAATTGAAGGAAAACAATGTTTGACTTATCAGTTGAAAGATGAATTAGAGAACTTGAGCACCTGTCAGGATATGGCAGTGCAAGCTTTTATATCTGTAGCCACCATATCCTTTACTTTTGTAAGTTTGATTATCCTTATTATAATTTGTTGTGTGATTCTAACAAATAAGATTTGGTCTTGTGGAGAGCCAGAAGCTGACGCTGTAATCCTCCAAACCATATATAATCCTTACCCTCTCCTTGATGTGGTGAATCTATAGGCAAAAGGGAACTGTGTAAAAGGAAATCTTGTGTAAGGGATAATTATGAGTTGTTTGTGGCTTTAGCTGTTGTTGGCAAAAGGCATGCTAAATGATAACTTCCTGACTATTAACTCCCCATGTTGCAAAAATACCCAAGAAATGCCCTTAGCTCTTGAAGAAGGATCTGAGGATGTCAAAAATCCTGGAGAACAAGATAAAAACCCATTACAGGGTGGGGAACAGGTCCGCTCCCATCAGCAGCGCATTATTTATGCTTGGGGATGAAACCACAAGCCAATTCCAACACTTCCAGCCAACTATTTGACAAACCCTGTAAGAAAAAGGGCAAAGCCTAGGGAAAACAGACCCCTGCAACAGTTAAGATAAGGGAATCACATGTTAAGAGTGTTGGAATTAGGACAAAGCTTAATGAGTGTGACCCTGCCCTGGGTCAGAAATGCTGGTTGTGTTTGTCAGCCGGACCTTCATCTTATCATGCGGTGCCAGTTGAGTCAGATCTTTGGGAAAAGACCAGAGCTACGATAGTCTTTGACAAGGGAGGTAGATGGGAAACTAAAACGGCAGAAGCCCAGCTACATGGCGATCTGTATGACGCGCTAAAAGACTGGGGATGAGCCGTCTTCCCATCATTGGACCCATAGCAGTTGGTGTAGAAATTATAGGGTCACCCTGCTTGTGCATCAAACGATATCAGGAACCTGGCATTCCTGTGGGGTCACTATCAGAGGATCAATGCTCATCTGAAATGTAACTTGCCCCCAGGAAAACCCTTGTAGAGGTAAAAATGACTCACAGCATGTCTCCCTCTGCTCAAAAGCACTTCCAACAGAAAGTCACTTTCTCGCTCCCACCTCCACTTGTTTTTAACCAATAGGAGGGGAATCTGACCACTGGAAGCTGCCCACGGCCATTCTAACCACCCCGACTTCTCATTAGGCTTTCAATACAATCCATTATGGGAGTTTGTGTTTACTTTCCTCCTGGAAATGCAAGTTCCTAATATCTCTTCAAAGGGCCAGTCCTCAGGAATAAGCTAATGGACCCTAATCAAGAAGTTCCATTACAGCCTCTGACTGGTATGTTCCTAGCAGGAACTTTACAAATCTGGACTAATGAAAGGAATCCTCGAGCCCATGCCTTCCCCATGAACATCAGTGTATGTGTAGGAGAAAATGTAGTTTTCTTTCTATGTGGGAGAAATGCCTATCTATGCTTGCCCACTAATTGGACTGGCACATGCACCCTAGTACACCTCCTCCCCAAAATGGAGGTGGTAAGTGGGGAACAGGCCCTCACTGTACCCCTCATGGGACATGTCCAGAAAAGAGTGCCACTCCTAATTCCACTATTAGCAATCTTGGGAATAGGGACAGCAGTTGGAACAGGTGTAAGTGGAATGACCCATTCCATTACATAGTTCAGGCAACTGTCGGAAGAATTGCAAGAAAGCCTGAACCAAATTTCTGGCACCTTAGTTGAAGTCCAGGACCAGATAGATTCCTTGGCAGCCATGGTATTACAGATCCAGCATCCCATAGATCTTTTAACAGCTGAAAAGGGTGGGCTATGTGTATTCCTGGGAGAAGATTGTTGTTTCTATATGAATAGATCAGGAGCAGTCCGGGGGGGGGGGGGGGATCCAAAAACTACGAGATCAAGCTTCCTCTATTGGTCAAAAAGTACAAGGAACAGATGTGTGGTTCTCTTGGCTACAGGGAAAAGGTTGGATTAAGCAAATGCTATTTCTTTTATTATGTGGAATCACAAGTTTAGCCTTCCTCCCTTGCATAATACCCTTGCTTAAACAGCTCGTTATGAGGTCTGTAAAAGAAAATACGGGTTGAAAAGGAGTTAATGTTAATGGAAAGCCTAATCCCACATACTTTCAAGGAAGATGAAGCTTCAGATACTT